CATAACAACAAAGATTTTTTTAGGGCCTACGCTCTATGCTTCATATCATGCTACTTCGGTCCCTTCCGGGCTGCCGTGTTCGGTGCATCGGCTGCGGTACTCGGTGCACTCTCAGCTGGTTTCTGGAGAGTGGATGACGGCGTTTCTGGTGGGTTTTAAATTTTCCAGCTCTAACTTTTATATTCGCAGAGGTTTTTGTTGCAGAAGAAGCAGATGAAGTTAAACTTTTGAAGGAAGAGGAGCCGACAAAACTTCCAACAGACGGTAATCGTATGCACAGAAAAAAGACTTTGCGTGAAAATTTTAATCTTTTTTGTAGACACAGCTTCCGTTGTTTCCATCGATAAAGCCCTTGGCAGTGACAAGATCATATCCGTCATCGTTGGATTGTGTGCGTTGTCATGGCTAGTACGTCATGATTCCGCTCTGCTACTCATTCTGATCCCATTCATCTTTGCTTCCATCCGCAGAGCCGGTAGGTTCAGACATTCGTGCTTTCTTCCTTCCATCTCCTAACAGCAGAGGAATTGTAGTTTTTGGATTTTGCTCACAATTCGTATAGTCAATTTCTGGCAACTTTTTCTTTTGCATTACTTAAAGGGAAGGAACGGCCAACATGACAAAAGTTACTATTTTAGGCTCTAGCAGTGGTTTTACTCCGGCTCTTTATGGAGGTTTGTCTTCATTCTGGGAGCGTGTATATCCGCATGTCAAGAGAGTTGTTGATATCACCGTGGCAGGACCATTACGTCAGTTTGTGAAGGTTTGTTAGAAGTCAATTCTATAAAACGAACATAATCACGTATAGTCGTCGCCTTCAGGTGCTTTTTACCTCAGACCAAATGTTGGTTGAGTCTCTACATTCAAAGATGGATTTCCTGTCTTCTGTTGTTGTCATGCTTCTCCTAGCATTGTCGGCAATTTCCGCCCTGACATTTGTTGGATTCCAATTGCATAATGAAACGGTTCGAGCTTTTTTTTTTTTGCAAATGTATTCGATTTTGTTGGAACGGTGATACCATGACAGAAAACATACTTGTGTAT